CAGCTTGTGGAAATGATGCTGCAGTTTTTGCTATTGTTTAAGTTTTTTGCCATTGTTTTGTTGGTTTTGTTGTTGTTTGGTTATATCATATAATGGCATGTAAGCCAAACTCTTCTCAGGGAAATGGGAGATTTCAAAAAAAAAAACAGATATTTAAACATTTTAACAGCGATGTTATTATAAACTTTTTATAAAATGTTTTTTAAAATAAAAATTATACTTTTATAAAAATTATACTTAGAAAAGGTTTTAAAAAAAATATATTCTTGGGTTGTTTTGAAAAAAATTTTCTAATTCACCGTTCTTGAAATATTTTTTGAGAAGTTTTTAATTTTTGAGAAATATGTTTCCAATTTGTTTCGGTTTTTTATATTTTTTTCAATTAAAGAAACGCTTGAAAAATAATATTTTTATTTGAAAAAATTCATACGATTATTTGGGAGCCTTCGAACGATTTTAAAATTTTCACACAAATTTTCGAATGAACTTTGAACAAAAAAACTTTGAAAACTTTAACAAGTAAAAAAGCTGTAAGTTCGGTCGGGCCGAACTATGAATACCCTCCACCGATTGGTACGAATTTCGCAAATTTTCATAAAAATAAAATCCGTTAAAAATTCTGTTAATATTTGAAAAATACCAAAGGTAGCCGTCATCATTTTCTGTCATGGGCTGTAGTACCCATTATGAACTTTATATATGAAATTTGAAATAATTCCGGTAAATAATGTCGCTAAAATCATGAAAATACCGAATATCAGGAGTTACCGTTACATGGGAGCTATACGAAGAAGTAGACCTGCATACAAAAATTTTCTGTCATAGGCTGTAGTATCCATTACGAACTTCTAATACCAAATTTGAAACAATTCCGGTAAATAATGTCGCTAAAATCATCAAAATACCGAATATCGGGAGGTACCGTAATATGGGGGCTATACGAAGACGTGAACCGGCAAAGACCATTTTCTTTTTTAGGTTGTGGTATCTATTACGAATTTGAAATACTAGATATGAAACAATTCCGGTGAATAATGTCGCTAAAATCATCAAAATACCGAATATCGGGAGCTACCGTTATATGGGGGCTATACGAAAATGTGGACCTGCACAGACAATTTTCTGTCATAGGCTGTAGTATCCATTACGAATTACAAATATCGAATTTGAAACAATTCCGGTAAGTAATGTCGCTCAAATCATAAAAAATACCGAATATCGGGAGGTACCGTTATATGGGCGCTATACGAAAACGTGGACCTACATGACCGATTTTCAATACCAAAAGTCCTGCAGACATAGTATACATTTGAGTAAAATTTTATCAACCTATTTCATTTCGTTTGGAAGCTAGAGTGATTTCCACAGACGGAAGGACATCGCTAAATCGACATAGAATTCTATGCTGATCAAGAATATATATATTTTGTGGGGTTTAAAATGTATATTTCGAGTTGTTACAAACGGAATGACAAACTTAATATATCGACCATACTATGGTGAGGGATATAAAAAACAGATTCGAGCTTCAGCCTTTTCATCTGGGCATTAATGCATCGTTAAGTCAGTCAGTCTCTTTTTGGTTTTCTCTTTCTCTCTCTCTCTCTCTCTTTCTCTCTTTCTCTTTGATTAATATAGTTTAGAGGTCCGTGATAGATCAAAAGATCTTAAAAAGATTTGTTAGACTTTTTTATTGTTTTGTTATATTGGAAGTCCGTGACAGGTCAAAAGATCTTAACAAGATTTGACGGATTTTTTTTTTTTGTTAAAAAAAATTAAAATATTTTTCGAATATCTTACAAATATTTATTTCTTTAATTTTCTTTCAAATATTAGAAAACAAAAGATAAAATACATACAGGGTGATATAAAAATCTGCAGCATTTTGACATAATTTTTACATTTTTATTTTCAAAATTTTATTGAATGAAAACAAAAAATGTCGGAAATAGCATCAAATTTTAGAATAACTTTAGATTTATTCGAATTGTTCACCTTTGGCACGAATTATGGCCTTCAAACGGCCAATGAAACCGTAACACGCTGCCCGAATGTTGCTCTGCTGTATTTTGGCCCATTCCCGGCGAAGCACTTGTTTGAGGTGATCGACACTTTGGTATTTTTTAGTGCCAACCTTGCTTTCCAAAATACTCCAGACACAATAGTCCAACGTATCTGGTATCTGGAGATTTTGGTGGCCATTGTGCGCTGGAAATGAAATCATTTTGTAACAAATTCTTGGGTCGCGTATGCTGAGTGCGATGCGATGCTGGGTCCTGTTGGAGTGCCCAGGGCTTAAATACACCCTCCAGAATATTTTTGCGATAATATTCGGCATTTATTCTGATGCCACGGTCGATTAATACGAGCGGAGAGCGACCATCGGCTGTTATGGCGGCCCACAGCATCACCATGGCCGGCGCTTGAGTTCTGGGGGCCAACCGAAGGTGTACATTTTCAGCTGACGGCCCACACCATCACCATGGCCGGCGCTTGAGTTCTGGTGACCAACCGAAGGTGCACATTTTCAGCTGACCTCTTTGGCAAGTAAACACGATCATTTTGTTTGTTTACAAACTGCTGGACAACGAATGATTTCTCATCGGAGATCGGAGAAACCCGAAAATTCGGCAGTTCACCACTTTGGGCCAAGCGAAGCTACTTTTTAGCTCTTTTTAGTCTATTTTCTTTTTGTTGCGGTGTAAGTTCTTGCAGTTTTTGGAATTTCAATGGCAGACCCCAAGCTTATTTTTCAATATTTGTCGAATGGAATATTGCGATATGTTCAGCTCACGAGCCATATTTCGGCCACTGCGACGCGGTTTACGATCAAGCCGCTTCTTTACTTTTCGAATTATTTCTGCTGATGTTGCTGTTTCTTCCGTCCACTTCCTTGACGTCGTCGGGCTACCTGCTACCAGTATCACGGTAAAGAGCGATGGTACGAGACACAAAAGATTTATTCACATTTAAATGCTGGAGTACTCTAACGATAGCCACTTGTGGTTTTCCAGCCCAATATAAAGAAATAACACTAAATTCCGCGAATCACGAATAACTTTTTTTTCTGGAAAATTCTCACCTAAATGCTGTCCGTCCATGTCCACGTCCGTCCGTCTGGCAATGTATTTTTATAAACACAGTACAGTTCGCATTTATTACCCGATCCAGATGAAATTTTGCACAAATCATTTGTTTGGCCCAAGGACGAACCCTATTGAAATTGGAGATAATCGGTCAAAATTTAGATATAGCTCCCATATATATCTTCGTCCGATTTACCTTGTATTGTGCACCAAACGTGTAATATCAGCCCGAATAGTATGGAATTTTGCACATACAACCAAATTATGCCTGAAAATAGGTATGCCAAATTTGATCGAAATCGATTCAGATATAGCTATAGCTCCCATATATATACGGTTCATCCGATTTGTTATTTATGTCCTCCGCAGCCGTAATATGCACTCTGTAACAACGATATTTGGGGAAATATATCAAATACAGCTCAGAAATACATTTGATAAATTTTATCGAAATCGGTTCAGATTTGGATATAACTCCCCTATATATAACTTCGTCCGATTTACCTTTTATTGTGCACCAAACGTCTAATATTTGTCCAAATGTGATGAAATTTGGCACATGCGACCGAGTTGAGTCTAGAAGCTAGTATGTCAAATTTGATGGAGATCGGGTCAGATATAGCTATAGCTCCCATACATATTGCTCATCCGATTTGTTATTTTTGTCCTCCGCAGCCGTAATATGCACTCTGTAACAACGATTTTCAGGGAAATATATCAAATACAGCTCAGAAATACATTTGCTAAATTTTATCGAGATCGGTTCAAATTTGGATATAATTCCCCTATATATAACTTCGTCCGATTTACCTTTTATTGTGCACCAAACGTCTAATATTTGTCCAAATGGGATGAAATTTGGCACATACAACCGAATTGAGTCTAGAAGCTAGTATGTCAAATTTGGTGAAGATCGGTTCAGATATAGCTATAGCTCCCATACATATTGTTCATCCGATTTTTTTATTTTTGTCCTCTGCAGCCGTAATATACACTCTGTAACAACGATATTTGGGGAAATATATGGAATGCAGCTCAGAAATATCTTTGCCAAATTTTATCGAGATCGGTTTCGATTTGGATATAGCTCCCATATATAACTTCGTCCGATTTACCTTTTATTGTGCACCAAGCGTCTAATATTTGTCCAAATGTGATGAAATTTGGCACATACGACCGAATTGAGTCTAGAAGCTAGTATGTCAAATTTGGTGAAGATCGGCTTAGATTTGGATGTAGCTCCCCTATATATAACTTCGTCCGATTTAACTTTTATTGTGCACCAAGCGTCTAATATTTGTCCAAATGGGATGGAATTTTGCACTTACGACCGAATTGAGTCTTGAAGCTAGTATGTCAAATTTGGTGAAGATCGGTTCAGATATAGCTATAGCTCCCATATATATATATATATTGTTCATCCGATTTCTTATTTTTGTCCTCCGCAGCCGTAATATGCACTCTGTAACAACGATATTTGGGGAAATATATGAAATGCAGCTCAGAAATATCTTTGCCAAATTTTATCGAGATCGGTTTCGATTTGGATATAGCTTCCGAATTTAAAAGATACAAATGCTTCGGCATATTTAGTCCTTTGAACTTTAAATTATGATTAATTTCATAGCGTGTATGATTGAATTCTCCCATAAAAACGTTTAATTGTTATGCGGAGCTCTACTAAATTAGCAAAGTGATGTAGGGTATCATAAAGTCGGCCCCGCCCGACTTTAAGACTTTCTTTACTGGTTTTCCTATAATAATCAATTGAAAAATTTTGAGGCATTTAAATAATTTATTTTTTTCAAATATTTTTATACCTTCCGTCATAGTATGGAGTGTGGAGTAAAATTGTTTTTTTTTTTAATTTTAATATTTTTTAAATATTTTGCGAAATTTTTCGAAATTCTTACCTTTGTTTTTGTTTTTTTTTTTTTTTATTTTAACGCAGAAATGTTCTATTCCATGTTCATATTTTTTATTGTTATCTCTCGTTGTTTGTTTGTAAACAATAGTGCAAATTTTTAAAGATAACAGAGTTTCAACAACTTTGCTATTTAATCAGATATGGTCATTCATTCAAGACGTTAGAGCTTCTGCATTATTTCACCAATTTGTTAAACAAATAAACTCGGCATCAACTGCAAAGTACATGAGAACACAAGTAATTATTTTAATGTTTTGTTTTCCTTGATTTCTTTTTGTTTTTCAATTTATTTATAAACTGCGTGATTTACATTTACTTCTTTAAAAATATTGAAAAAAAAAATGAAATATTATAGAATTCTTGGAAAAAAAAAATATTAATGGTTTGTTATTACTTCAATATTTTTTATTTTTAATTTATTTTTTTTATTTTTCTCAGATGTATTTTTGTCCGATATTTCTTTTTTGTATTTGGTTTATGTTTGATTTTTTTTAATATATTTTATATTATTATATTTGATTTTTTTTTTAAATTATTGTTTTTTATTTTTTCAACATATTCTCAACATTGTTTTAATTTTTAAAAATTTTCGGACAAATTTTTTTTATATTTATTTCAATTTCTGATATTCTTTAATTTTAATTTATTGTTTTTATATTTCAGGTATTTTTTTCGCAACATTTATTAATTTTTTAGATAAGCTTTTCATGTTTTTTTTTTCAAAATTTTTTTTTTTTATTTTTATGTAGTTTTTTGATTTTCCTTATATATTATTTTAATCTTTTCAATAATTTGTTCTCAGCATTTTGTAAATTTTTACCATTTTTCTGACAAAATTTTATATGTTTTTTTTAAAAATTTTTTTTAAATTTATTTAAATTTTTTTTTATTTAATTTTTATTTAATTTTCTTTAAATTAAATTTATTTTTAATTTTATTTTAAAAAAGTTGAAAAAAAATTAAATATTATAATTTTTTTGGGAAAAAAAATATTTTTTTTTAATTTTTTGTTTTTATTTTTCCAAGATGTTTTTGTTGTTTTTTTTTTCAATTTTTTATATTTATTTCAATTTTTAATATTCTTTAATTTTAATTTATTGTTTTTATATTTCAGTGATTTTTTCTCAGCATAATTTTTTACCATTTTTCAGATAAACTTTTTATGTTTTTTTTTCAATATTTTTTCAATTTTTTGCAATTTTTTGATTTTTCTTACTTTTTATTTATTTTTTTTCAATATTTTTTTTCTCAGCATTTTTAAAATTTTTACCATTTTTCTGATAAAATTTTTATGTTTTTTTTTACAATTTTCTAAATTTATTTAAATTTGTTGATTTTTATTTAATTTTCTTTAAACTTAATTTAATTTTATTTTAAAAAGGTTGCAAAAAATGAAATATTGTAGAATTCTTGGAAAAAAATATTATTGGTTTGTTATTACATCAATATTTTTTAATTTTTATTTATTGTTTTTATTTTTTCCAGATGTTTTTTTTTTTCTTTGTTTTTACTTGTTGCTATTTTTCCGACAATTTTTTTATATTTGGTTTAAGTTTGACTTTTTTTTCAATATCTTTTATATTATTATATATTTTTTTCTAAATTATTGTTTTTTTCAAAATTTTCTCAATATTGTTCAAATTTTTACAATTTTTCGAATAAACTTTTTTCTTTTTCCTTTTGTTTTTGTTGTTGTTTTTTTCAATTCTTTATATTTATTTTAATTTTTAATATTCTTTAATTTTAATTTATTGTTTTTATATTTCAGTGATTTTTTCTCAGCATAATTTTTTACCATTTTTCAGATAAACTTTTTATGTTTTTTTTTTTTCAATATTTTTTCAATTTATTGCAATTTTTTGATTTTTTTTACTTTTTATTTATGTTTTAATTTTTTTCAATAATTTTTTTTTCTCAGCATTTTTAAAATTTTTACCATTTTTCTGATAAAATTTTTATGTTTTTTTAAACAATTTTTATATTTGGTTGATCTTAGATTTTTTTGCAATATTTCTTATATATATTGAAATCTTTTGATTTCTTTTTAATTATTGTTTTTATTTTTTCAACATTTTTACAATTTTTCGAAAAAAAACTTTTTTGTTTTTTTTTTTAATTTTTTTATAATTATTTTAATTTTTGATATTCTTTAATTTTAATTAATTATTTTTATATTTCAGCTATTTTTTTACAGCATTTATTTAATTTTTACCATTTTCAAATATTTTTTTAGATTTATTTTTTTTAATTTTTTTTTTAAATTTTTTTCGCAGAATGTTTTTTTATTTGTTGATTTGATTTTTTCCAATATTTTTTATTTATTTTATATTTTATTTCATTTTTTTTTTAAATTTAGTGTTTTTATTCCTCCAAATTTTTTCATCATTTTTTTGGAAAAAAATATTATTGGTTTGTTATTACTTCAATTTTTTTTTAATTTTAATTTATTGTTTTTATTTTTTCCAGATGTTTTTTTTTTGTTTGTTTTTACTTCTTGCTATTTTTCCGATAATTTTTTTATTTAGTTTATCTTTGATTTTTTTTCAATATTTTTTATATTTATTTAAATTTGTTGATTTCTTTTTAACTATTGTTTTTATTTTTTTAACATTTTTAGAATTTTTCGAATAAAGTTTTTTCTTTTTCTTTTTGTTTTCAATTTTTTATATATATTTTAATTTTTGATATTCTTTAGTTTTAATTTATTGTTTTTATATTACAGTGATGTTTTCTCTGCATTTATTAAATTCTTAACGTTTTTCAGACAATTTTTTTATGTTTTTGTTTTTTCCAATATTTTTTTTTTTAATTTAATGCAATTTTTTTAATTTTCCTTATATTTTATTTAATGCTTAATTTTTTTCTCAGCATTTTTTAATTTTTTACAATTTTTCTGACAACATTTTTATGTTTTTTCCAAGTTTTTTTCATTTTCAATTTATTTCAATTTATTGTTTTTATTTCATAAATTTTTTCTTAGTCTGCCTTTTTTACTTGTTGTTATTTTATTTATTGTTTTCATTTTTCCAATAATTTTTTCTCAGCATTTTTTAACTTTTTTTTTTTTTTGATAAACATTTTATGTTTTTTCCAATAAAATATTTTTTTTTTTTTTTATTTTCATTTAATTTTATTTTATTTTAATTTATTGTTTTTATTTTTTAATTGTTTTTTTACTTGTTGCTGTTTGATTTGTTTTAATATTTGTTATGTTTATTTCAATTTTTTTTTTTATGTTTACTTTTTTTTCAAACAATTTTTTTTCTTATTTTTTAAATATCTACCATATTTTTGATAAAATTTTTATTGTTTTTTTCCAAAATTTTTTTAAATTTATTAATTTTTTTTAATTTAAATTTATTGTTTTTATTTCATTTTTCTCTGTTTGTTTCTTTACTTGTTTTATTATTTCAAATATTTTTATGTTTATTTCAATTTGTATTTTTATTTTTTTTTAATTAATTGTTTTTATTCTGCCACATTTTTCAACATTTTTTTATTTTTGCAATTCTTTTTCATTTTTTAACATTTAACGGATACATTTTTTTATGTTTTTATTTCACAATTTTTTATATTTATTTAAATTTTTTGATTTTTATCTAATTTTTTCTAACTATTTTGTATTATTTTTGCTATTATTTTCGATATACCTTTTTACATTTTAAAATTTCATAAAAAAAAATAATTATTTCAATATTTCTTTCCCGATTTACCTTAATTTTAACTTAAATGTTTATTTTTTTTAATTGTTTACATTTATTTAAATTTTTTGATGTTTTATTTTTTTGAAGATTTTTCTTAGCATTTTTCAAATGTTTACAATTTTTCGGAAAAGCTTTTTATATTTTCGTTTTTTTTTTAATATTTTATTAGTTTATTTATTTTTTTTTCCTTATATTTTTTTATTGTTTTAGTTTTTAATGATTTTTTCTAATTTTTTTGATAAGCTTTTTATTTATTTTTTTTTGTTTTCTTCCAATTTTTTTTTATATTTATTTATTTATTTATTTATTTTTTGTCAACTATTTAGTGTATTTTCACTAAATTTTTTTTTATTTTTTTTTTTTTTTTGATTTTTCCTTATATTTTGTGTTATTACTTTTTTTTTAATTTGTTGTTTTTATATATTGCATTATTTTCTCTCATCACTTTTTTTACCATTTTTTCATAAACTTTTTATGTTTTTTATTTTTCAAATTTATTTACATTTATTTCAATTTTTTGATTTTTCAAAATTTTATATAATTGTTTTTATCATTAAAAATTATTTTTTTTCTTTTTCGATTTTCTTCAATTTTAACTAAAAATTGTATAATTTTTTCAATTTTCTCTCACCTTTCTTCCACTTTGTTGAAATTGTTTTCTATTTTTTCCAATTTTTCCCCAATATTTTTTTTCAAATTTCTTTCTTAATATTTTTTCAATTTTCCTCTATTTTTTTCAAACATTAATCCTCTTCATTGAACACCTGAAAGTGAAATTTCTATACATATTTTTTGTTTATACCATCTGTTGTTGTGTGATTTTTCTTCACTTTGTTGTTAATTGCTGCAAGCGGGAGAGGGGGAGAGCGAGATTGCTTTGTAAAAACCCGTTGATGGACCCACGAAATATTCGTATTTTTAAGATATTTTGTTAAATAATTTTATGAATTTTTTTCAACAATTTTTTTGTGGCGTCTGACATGGAACACGTTTTAATTCTCACTGAAATGGCATTGCGTTCATCTCAATTGAACTCTGGCTGCTGCCGCTGATAGACATGCTAGACGGTCTGATCTTCGGGGCCGGTGTTGGAGAGCCATGGAAGTGTGTTGTGGTGTGTGTGTTTTTTTTTTTTTTTTTTTTTTGCATCGGGAGGGTCGCTACACAATGGGTGCTGGATTATGGGTGAGTCAAGGGGATTTGTCCAACAAAAAAAAGTACTCGAATTCTTTGAACATTTTTTCAAAACAAAAAAAATATATAAATAAATAAATAAATAAAATTTCTCGTTTAAAAACAATAAAATATTTCTTTAAAATGCACACTTAAAAACCTATAAATATTCATTAAAAAATTAAAATATTTTGTTAAAAATCACCGTTTTAAGAAATGTGAAATGAAGGTCTGGAAAATTTCTTGAATATTTTTTATTAAAATCCACGTTTGAAGGTCTTAATATTTTCTTGAATATTTTTTTTTTTAATCCACGTTTGAAGACCTTGATATTTTCTTGAATATTTAAATTGAAAATCCACGTTTGAAGGTCTTAATATTTTCTTGAATATTTTTTTTTTAATCCACGTTTGAAGACCTTGATATTTTCTTGAATATTTAAATTGAAAATCCACGTTTGAAGGTCTTAATATTTTCTTGAATATTTTTTAAAAATCCACGTTTGAAGACCTTGATATTTTCTTTAATATTTTTTAAAAATCCACGTTTGAAGACCTTGATATTTTCTTGAATATTTTTTAAAAATCCACGTTTGAAGACCTTGATATTTTCTTGAATATTTTTTAAAAACCCACGTTTGAAGACCTTGATATTTTCTTGAATATTTTTTAAAAATCCACGTTTGAAGACCTTGGTATTTTCTTGAATATTTTTTTAAAAATCCACGTTTGAAGACCTTGATATTTTCTTGAATATTTTTTAAAAATCCACGTTTGAAGACCTTGATATTTTCTTGAATATTTTTTAAAAATCCACGTTTGAAGACCTTGATATTTTCTTGAATATTTTTTTATAAATCCACGTTTGAAGACCTTGATATTTTCTTGAATATTTTTTATAAATCCACGTTTGAAGACTTTAATATTTTTTTGGAATATTTTTTAAAAATCCACGTTTGAAGACCTTGATATTTTTTTTGAATATTTTTTAAAAATCCACGTTTGAATATTCTTGAAAAATAGTCGCTCTCTGCTCGTATCTAACCTTATTCTAAATTTTGATGCTATTTCCGGCATTTTTTGCTTTCATTTAATAAAATTTAAAAAAAATGTAAAAATTGTGGCGTTTGACTTTGTTGCAGTTTTTTTATCTCACCCTCTATTTATTAAAAAATCCAAGTTTAATCAACTTTAAATATTTATTAAAAAATCCACGTTTAATGCCTTGAAATATTCTGTAAAAAATTCACTTTTGAAGACCTTGAAATATTTTTAAAAAATCCAAACCTCGAAATATTCTTTTAAAATCCATGTTTAATTGTTAAAATATCTAATTTAAAGGTCTTAATATTTTTATAAATTCACGTTTGAAGGTCTTGGAACTTTGAAGACAATTAAAAACACCTTTTAAGAGTCCACAGATTCTTCAATATTCAGAAAAAACACGTTTAAAGCTCTTGAAATATTCTTGAATAATTTTTCAAATCATTTTTAAAAGTATTCAAAAAAGTCTTTAAAAAATTGTTTAAAAAATCACTTTCAAATGGCCTTAAATACTCTTGAGAAAATTATATACAAAACCAGGTTTATAAGCCTCCAGTTTTTTTAATTAATAAAAAAAACCGCTCTTCTTTTTCCACTTGTAGGGCCCCATCGAAGCCATGGTATACCATTGCCCCTACCATTTCGTTGATTAGTTTGTGGGGATTTTATTATGGTTTTTTCTGTGACGTTGGCTGCTGCTGACGACTCTTTTGGGGTGCTGCTCACACAACGGCTCGCTCTCGCTCTCTCTCACTTAAGCTCTCACACAAGCAAAAAAAACAAAACAGCACACAATGAAATTTCCACAACACAGATGGTCCAATGGATGGATGATCTCTTTGTGAGAGATGGGTGAATGGAGCATAGCAACAACAACAATAACAACAGCATCCAAATATATTTGGTGGTTTTCTTGTTGTTGCCATTCTAATTGTTTTGTGTGTCAAGAAACACAGCCTATCTCCCTACCTCACAGTTATACACAGAAACACGCACACACTACCCCATATGAAGTGATGTTGACTTGCTCTCATGGAGCCTCCTCACCAACAACCTTTCAAGAGCATTGATATATATTTTTGCCGTATTTTTTGTTGTTTCTTGTTATATCTCCCCGTTGCACATGTTTCGCAATGCAATTAAGTTCGCATTGTTGTTGTTCTTGTTTCTACGTGCGATAATGGGAATTACTTAATCGGAACAACAATGAACTCGGGCTTCTTCACGAGAGTTATTTATAAGTGGCTGTTCGTGTGCGTAAATTGATATTATATGACCAGACCGATATTCAAATGGCGGAAAAGTGTGGAAAATTGATATCGTGAGAAGATTGATTAATAATTTAGAAAATATGATATGCAATAAATGTTATAGGTTATTGTAATAAATAAATGTATAAATTAGTCACAAATAAATTAAAATGAAAATTATTAGGTATGAAAAAAAAAAAATTATTAGAAATGAAATAACTATAAAAACAGTGTTATAATAATTTTTGAAAAATAGGTATTTTTTTCGATTATTTTGTTTATTTATTTTTGTTTATTTTTTTTTTTTTTTTTTGTAGAATATAGACCTAGCATAAACATCCAATAGCAAGTAACTGGTTTCCAAAACAATTTTTGGCCGTCGTAGCTACTTACAAATAAACCTATTTGCTGACTATTTTTACGTGTTATTTTTAGCATTTAAAATTTGACAAATAAGATAAAAAGTTTTTGTTCTCCTGTTTCTCTCCCACTAAAAATTGATCAGACCATTGAAATTTACTGAGAAATGTCTGTCAACATTTTTAAAATTCCCCCACTGTCGTCGTCCAATTTGAGCAAGTCACAGTTTAAAACAACATGTCATAGTTTTAAAAGCATAGTTGAACTGTGCCATCTACTTTCCATTTAATGGCGACACAAACCGGTACAAATCATAAACAAATTTGTTCATGCCACATTTGATATGTAGATGGCGCCATTTGAATAAAGCCTAACCAAGAATATATTCTACTTTTTCTTTGGGGCATTTAAACATTTAAAATGAGTATTTAATGTAAGTTATCAAGAATTTTGTGACAAATTAATCGATATGGATCGATATTTAAAAAACTCCCACTGCCATCCCATTAGAGTTAATTACAGTTTAATGCTAGGAACACAATTGGAGCGAACGACGAATTTCGCCCTACGCGGCGACAAAATGAGCCGCGAAAATTCGTCGTATGGAACACAATACCGACGAAATTATAAAACAGCTGATGAAGTTGTTTACTTTTTGCTCATTTGTTGACTACAATGAAAATTATACAAGAACTCATAATTCTTTATAATTTCAGTTATGTCCATCTTTTCTATTATAAATTCACTGATATCCATCTTCACTCAGGCGCAAGTGCACAAATAAATAAACAAATTATTTATGTTTTTTTTATACGAATAACAGATAGTAGAGTGACCATAACAAATTTTTAAGTAAAAAGTAACTTTATTTACTAAAACACATAAAATTCGTACAAGTATGGCCACCTTGTACTGTTTTGTCGCCGTTCGCCGGCGTATGAAATAGAAATAAAGCTAATTGAGTTCGCGGCGACCGACGAAATTTTCGCCGGCGCCGTGATTGTGTGCACTTCCATATACACATATGGTTTTTATTTTTGACGACGAACATACGCCGCGAAAAAATTCGTCGTTCGCTCCAATTGTGTTCCTAGCATAAGACAACTTGTCATAGTTTTAAAAGCGTTGGTAAACAAAGCCATAGCCCTCCCTCATATCAATAACACAAACCGGCATCACAAACAATTTTAGTCACGACACATCACATATCAAGCATTTATAATATCAAAACAGAATTGGAAAGCTAATAGATTTCTGCAGGTTCTGGTACAGAACAAATTTATTCGATTTTCTTCATCGATAATAATAGTTTGATAGCCTTTGCTTTACCTACATTTGACACTATTCACTGTGAATGCCAATTTTATTAAAAAGGCAGCAATGTTTAGTGAATGCCTCTCATTCTTCTTCTTACTTTCAACATTGTTTACATTCTATTCAGCTGTTTTCTGCTTGGGAAAACATGATAACGCCTCGAAAACACCCGCAAAATGGACAAGGGTTGCTGCCAACTACGGCTACCTTATCAATATTCCATGGAATATTTTGACGTCTAAACAGCTGTTTATGTTTGGATGGGGCCGATTTTTAAAACCCTGTAAGGAATTCCCTGTAAGGAATTTTTCGACCTGGTGAACTCTGTGGACAGGCCTGCTTTCGACCTGCTAAGCCCTGAAATGCCTTCTTTTTCGATCTGTTGGTCCCTTAAAATTTGAACCTGGAAGGAAATGGAAGAGGAAAACCCTGGAAATAAAATTATTTTAACGTTGTTGAATGGAACTGGCTATGTTTTTGAGGTGGAGGGTAAGTCAACATCCAGATACTCCAATTGGAATAATAATCTCTTAATGTCTCCTAACAGATTACATGAAACTAAGAAGAGACCACCACATAGTTGGCTCTTTGGTGGGGACCTGTGCAAGCCGGGGATGGTCAGCCAGCGAATGCAGTATGTTGTTCATGGACTTTAAAGTTATGGTATTTTATTATTTCTTTACTCCCCTATCTATTGTAGCAATGCCCGTTGAATTAACACCCTGGGAGACACGTCTATTGGTGGAACAGGGCTTGGCGGTATTGGTTTCAAAAAAGACATCCCTACTGCGTGAAGAAAATGAACTGGAACGTAAACAATACCAAGAGCAGTTGGAGCAACGAATATCGCAACAAGAGGAGGCATTGAAAGAAGAAAAACTGAAACAGTCAGAGGGAAATATTGAGAAAATTCTGGCGGGGAAACGAAAAAAGTTGATGAAGCAAGGAATCGCAGAAAAAGGTAAAGACCAAGTCGTAGGCCAGCTGTAGACAAATTATGTAGAGAAAGTCAAGTATTCCTTTAAGCCGGACAGCTAAAGCCGACACAGATTGCCTATAATACGATGCGAACGGCTAGTGGTTATAAATATCAACTGAGTGACCAATCTGTTCATAAAAACGCACTCCAAGTCGATATAGTTCTCATAGACGATGAAAATACTGTAATTGTAGTCTATAAAGATGAAATGAGTGTCCAATGCATCTAAAACAAGCAACTAAAGGCGAATGAAGTATTCATTAAAAACGATCTATTCCGATCAACATTTCAAATATAGTCACCTTGCTTTTCAGCTCGCCCTTACATACTCCCTGACAGCAAACAGATCGTCCATATAGGTTCGTCCAGGTTCCCTTATCTTGGTCATATAGACATGTGGGCTCCCTAAGCTTGTCGATATAGGATAGTTGGCAACCAATCAGTCCGTCTATGCATGGACGGTCCAATTAGCTAGCAAGCCCCGGTTCAGTTCGTCTAAATATAAGCCAAGTAATCACTAGTAATATCGTCTTCACTTAGATCTACTGACGTCCATTTATCTCGTTTAAACATAGATCGCCTGGGCTCCATACAGATCGTCCATAGAGAATAGCTGGCTTCTTTATTTTAATTATTTAGACCAGCTGTCCGCTTAAGCTTGCCTATATAGAACAGTTGAGAGCAAATCAGATCGCTTATATAGGGCAGCTGGTTTACTTAGTTTGCCTACACGTAGACAAGCTGGCCCTCGTTCAGCTCGGTTAAAAATAAACCAACTGATATATATTTATCTCGTTTACTCTTAGACCAGCTGACGTCCATTTCGCTCATCTACACAGAGATGATCTTCATTCTATCTTCTGATTTTCAATCTACTCCAGCTGACTCCATGCGTTCAGCACTTCTAAATATGGACAAGAGGGCCTCTGCACTCCGCTGCCCCCCTTTTCATACATATATATACATCTGCTGCCCCCATCAGTTCCTCAATATAGAACAGCTTGGTTCTCATTCAATTTGTCTAAACATTTCTTATACTTATCTTATTTTGCAGACATAAAATTGGATCCCCAGGAAATACTCAATGAAATCAGGCAAAGTATCAAATTTGAAAGGAAAAATGCTTTACTGGACATACCCTGCGCCCATCCAGAACCTCATGGTAATATCAAAATAATTTGTTAATTTAACAACTCAAAATCAATTCATTTTCTTTATAGATGGCCGCATAGTAACATTCCCGGACTCGGATACCTCTCTAAAATATTTGGTATTTCGTGATCTTTGGTCACGGGGGAAATATGTATCATGTGGTGATGCTTTTGGGGCCGATTTTCTTATCTATCCCGGTGATCCGTTGCAATATCATGCCTCACATGTTGTTGTGCTCTTGGAAAACGGTTCTATGAAAGCTTTAGAACTTGTGGCCAATGTTCGTCTATCTGTGATGGTTAACAAACTGTGCGTTGTGGCTTATTTTGACAATGAGGGAGATAAGGATGGAGGAGGGAAAGATAGAAAGATTACATACCAAACTATAACCTGGATGGGTGATAAGGATAAAGAACGCAGACAATTTGGAAATATGAATGTGAATACTTCTTAATTAGACATCATTTTAAATGTCTTTTGCGTATACATTGGTCATCCTAAGAAGTAAAATGAAATAAAAAGAAAAAAGAACTCAACTGATGAAAAGACAATATCAAAAATCCTCGCAAAAGTATGAGAGCGACTTCAAAGCAAAAAAAAGATAAGAGGAAAACCTTATACGATTCAAAATACAATGAAGGAAGAGAAATTCACCAGAAAGGAAAAAGAAATGGATAAAGATCATGTGGTGATGCTTTTGGGGCTGATTTTCTTATCTATCCCGGTGATCCGTTGCAATATCATGCCTCACATGTTGTTGTGCTCTTGGAAAATGGTTCTATGAAAGCTTTGGAACTGGTGGCCAATGTTCGTCTATCTGTGATGGTTAACAAACTGTGCGTTGTGGCTTATTTTGACAATGAGGGAGATAAGGATGGAGGGAACGATAGAAAGATTACATACCAAACTATTACCTGGATGGGTGATAAGGATAAAGAACGCAGGCTATTTGGAAATATGAATACTTCTTAATTAAACATAATTCTGAATGTCTTGGGGTATACATTGGGCTTCCTAAGAAGTAAAATGAAATAAAAAGAAAAAAAGAACTCAACTGATGAAAAGACAATATCAAAAATCCTCGCAAAAGTATGAGAGCGACTTCAAAGCAAAAAAAAAGATAAGAGGAAAACCTTATACGATTCAAAATACAATGAAGGAAGATAAATTCTCCAGAAAGGAAAAGGAAATGGATAAAAATCAATTTCAAAAAATCCCCGTTTATTTGCAATTTTTATCATTGATATCCCACCCCCGCAATGAGAACAAAATAGAGGCAGATTTAAACTGAGATTTCTGATGAGATATTCGGCATCTAGACGTTTTGCAAAGAAGCCAAACTTCATTAAGCGTAAGGTTAACATGAAATAAAAAGAAAAACCCCAACTGGCTAAATCATTTTTTCAAGAAATATATACCTAACAGGATAGCTGGCGATATCTAATTTGGAGACTACAAAAGTAAAGTAAAATGAAATAAAAAGAAAAAATGCGAATATTATGGATCAAATTGAACTGGGGAAGAGAGTGGGATAGATTTGGAAGCGTGAAATAAGGTTGCATAGCAACTAACCCTGTTATCAGGAGATTTCCAAAATATAAGCGAACGGTTATTAATCTTAGATGTGATTTCTTTCTTGCATAGCCGTACCCGTACGACATGTGCTTTAACTAAATATCATTCGTTCTCAAATATGTCCACCATTAATAGTTGTTACCATCATAAAAATACTTTATATATTGTCTTTCACTTTATTATGATTGCGGCCAATAAAAGCCAGCTCCCTATTGTATCTTGCAAAGTTATATCACATCTGACAATATAATTACCTACATTCGGGATCATAAAAGAACACACTCCTTAAAAAAAGCTTTCAAAGAAAAACAGTAGCCAATGATCAGGCACTTAGAACATAATTTTTATGGTTTTGACCCTCCTTGCCCCCATTCCGCTTACGTTATGGCCATTTGTAAAACATCATTCCAGTTGTACTGTCAGCACATGGTGCAAATATTTTATTAATCACTGCAATTTGTTATGCTAGCGTTGGGATTGTTAAAAACTCTTTCTATGATCTCGCTAGCTGGCAATTTCATCAGTCTATCCTTTCTATTCTTCGGGTGGCAGAATAACTTCTAGTTTTATAGACAATAAAAAAACTGACTCCAAAGTGATATTCATGGGAGTTGCTTACAAGCTGATCATTATTAAATGATTGCAGAGAATCTTCTTCTGTGCACATTTAGCCACTCATGCCACAGTTATGAAGTTTACGGCTAGTTGGCATTATTGGCTTTATAGAATTGGTATTTATAGCTAAAGGGTGTTTCTTTGGAAGAATGATAGCATGGGAATTGAGAAATTATGTTGAAGAACATTAACCATTAACACAGACGAACGGAAAACAAGAGAGGCTACATATTCCTACAAAGGATCATGAAATGTTTTAAGGCCACATTTCTCGAGGACGAACTTAAAAGCGTGTGGGGTTGCAAAAGCGAGTTGAGGGAAATCGTGTCTTTAGGTTTAAGGTCCAGTTAGAAAATCTTTTTATGCGAGCAAAAACGTGGGTCAGCTGATCTGTATATAGAGCTGAACAGAGTTGAAGGAAAGCGTGTCTTAAGGTTTGAGGCCCAGTTAGAAAATCTTTTTATGCGAGCAAAACTTGGGTCAGTACATCTGTATAGAGAGCTTAACAAAGCTTAGCAGCTCTATATAGACAATAGCTGAACGGAGAATTCTAAAGGCTGTCTGAACTGGAGCCAGCTGGTCCATATAGAGATGGCCTGAACGGTGACCAAACGAAGGCCCAACAAAATTCATAAAGATGCGTTAGCAGTCTAGTCTGTTCCGTGTAGAGAAGCTGACGGGCCAGTGAAGACCATATAGCCAATTTGACAGTACAATGAAGTCCTTAAAGACCGGACAAGGACAAGTGAATTCCATATAGACAAGTTGGCGGGCCAGTAAAGCAACAACCATATGGGCGATCCAGAGGGCCACATAGGCAATCTGAAGGCCAGAGAAGTGAAATCCATATGGGAGAGCCAGTAAAGTCCATAGGAACAGATGACTAGCCATCGAATGCCATATAGACAAAATGGCGTACAAGTGAAGTACAATCCATGTAGGCGAACCAGTGAGTCCATATATGACTAGATGACAAGCTATTGAAGGCCATATAGAAGCAAATGAGCCATCGAAGGTCGTATAGACAAGCTGGGAGGCCAGTAAAGTAAAGATCATTTAGGCTAGGCAGTGAAGTAAAGTCCATATAGGCTAGCCTGTAAAGTCCACATAAGGCCAGATGAAGAGCCATTGAAGGACTTATAGATAAGGTGGCAGGCCTGTGAAGTCCGTTTATACCAGATGATACGTCACTGAAAGTCATATAGACAAGCTGGCGGGTCAGCTAAGTAAAGTCTATATATGCGAGCCAGTGAAGTCCATTTAAGACCAGATGACGGGCCATTCAAGACCATTTAGACAAACTGGCGGGACAGTGAAGTAAAATCCATATAGACGAGCCACTAAAGTCCATATAGGACCAAGTGTGCCATCGAAGGGCTGGCGGCCTGTGTAGTCCATATAGGACCAAATGACAAACCATATAAACAAACTGGCGGGCCAATGAAGTAAAGTCCATGTGGGCGACCCAGTGAAGTCCCTATAGGACCAGATAACCCATCGAAGGCCATATAGACAAGCTGGTGGGCCAGTGAGGTAAAATCTATATATGCGAGCCAGTGAAGTCCATATAGGACCAAATGACGAACTATCAAAGACCAAATGGACAAGTTGACGGGCCTGTAAAGTCCCTATAGGATCAGATGACAAGCCACTGAAAGCCATACAAACAAGCTGGCGGGTCAGTTAAGTAAAGTCCAAAAATACGAGCTGGTGAAGTCCATATAGATCAGATGACAAGGTAATATAGATAAACGGGCGGGTCAGTGAGGTAAAGTCTGTATAGGTGAGCCACTGAAGTCCAAATAGGACCACATGAGTAGCCATTGTAGGCCATATAGACAAGCTGGAGGGTCAGTAAAGTCAATTTAGGCGAGTCAGTGAAGTCCCTATAGGACCAGATGACAAGCCACTGAAAGCCATATAAACAAGCTGGAGGGTCAGTGAAGTAAAATCCAAAAAGAGGAGACGGTGAAGTCCATATAGGACCAAATGAAAAGCTATTGAAGGTAATATAGAAAAACGGGCGGGTCAGTAAGGTAAAGTCTGTATAGGTGAGCCAGTGAAGTCCAAATAGGACCAGTTGAGGATACACTGTAGGTCATATAGACAAACTGGAGGGTCAGTGAATTAAAGTCAATATAGACGAGCCAGTGAAGTCCCTATAGGACCAGATTACAAGCCACTGAAAGCCATATAGACAAGCTGGCAGGTCATTGAAGTAAAGAACGATCCTGTGAAGTCCATTTAGGACCAGTTGACGAGCCATGGAGGGTCATATAGGCAAGCTAGAGGGCCAGTAAAGTCCATATATGCGGCCCTGTGAAGTCCAAATGGGACGAGTTAACGAGCCATTGAAGGTCATATAGACAAGCTGTAGTAAAGTCCATTTGGGCGATTCAGTGAAGTCTCTATAGGACAAGATAGCAATCAATTGAAGGCCTTATAAACAAGCCTGGCGGGCTAGTGAAGACAATATCATCCGGATAGACGATCTGACAGGCCTGTGAAGATCATATAGGGCGTGTGATTTGTATATGGACATCCTGGTGGGCCAGTAAAGTCTATGTAGGTGAAGGTGAAGTTCGTATAGACAAGCTGGCGGACCTGTGAAATTGATATAGACGAGCTGAGGAGTCAGTAATGAATATAATTTTTCAGTCAGACGTGCAGTGGGGAAGTGATATTTATATGGGAGGTCTGACGAGGCAGTGGAACCTATAAATGCAAGCTGCGAGCCCAGTGAAGTAACTAGACGTGTTGCCGCAGTAGTGAAATTAAAATAAAGGACCTGAGGAACAGGGAACTTCTCATAGTTCGGAAGAGTGGCAATCCTTGTAGATGGGCTGGCCAAGGTATCAGGGTAACCGAGTTCACTGGACTTTGAGATTTCAACCAACGGATCTGTTAGTCCTTTGACCAAATACCCAAATTTTCCAACCTATCGCAATACCAAATATATTCCATCTTATCGTTTATTTCTATCCATAAAAAGAAGAAATCTCTTAAAAATAATCACCATCATCATCAGCAGCAGCATTATGTTGATTTAACGAACTACCAACCAACTAATTTTGGCAATATACTTCGTGGTTTTTATCTTTTTGGATTGTATTATAACTCCAAACCATTTCTAGCCATTTTTTCAGCTAATGGTCAATGCAATTTGACTTCCAAATAAATGCTGTGCAATGCGTAACTAACAGCCACTACCAAATCGCTGACACGATTTGCTGCTGCTGCTGTTCTCCCAAAACGAATTGCTCAGATTGACTGACAACCGGGCAGATGGGTAAAATACTGGAAAAAAAGATGAAAAAGACCCCACTCCAACATCAATGCTATCGGTTCAACAAGTAAGCGTCATGTTCATGCCACAAACCAAGGCAACATGTTGCTTGCCACCACCACTACGACCGTAACCAATACCACAAGCCAACCACCGGCAGCACCTTCTCAATAGGAAGTAGAAGTTTGTTACATTCAGTTGATCATCGTCTTGCCTGAAATTGATACCTTTGGCTCTGGCTGGCGAGAGTTCAGTTCTTTTTTTTTGTTTGGGTTGTTGGGAAACACGCCTGCCTTTGGGGTCTAATTTCATTTATTACCATAAACGGTGGCAGCGGCAATGTTGGCCATTTTCGGCTTGTCATGGCTTATTTAGGAATACATTTTGGCCCCCTCAACCCAAGACGAGGATGGATGTTGATGTACCTGCTGTTGTAATGGCTGGCTTTCTGATGTTCAATCATCACGGGCCACAACATGGGAGTAGTCATCATTATCAATGTCCAAAAAAAAAACAAAACTTCATCATAAGGCAATGTATTATCAACGTTACTGCTATCTGCGACTAAATATGGTCTTTATCGAATTGAACATTGTTATCGTTGATTCATTAATCTGCCAAGTCAATAACGGGCAGTCAAGAGGGATGCAAAGAATTTTCGATGGAAGAAACATGGTCCTTGAAAAAAATTAAATTAATAAAAAACCAAGAACACTTGTAATGCTGCATGGAAAAACTTTTTTATACAAATTCAAGTCGATGGTTAGCCCTTGAAAAATATTTTTAAAAAATTCAGGTCCTTAAAAAAATATATTTTTTTTAAAAATCCTAGAGACATGGATTTTTTTAAAAAAAAAAATCAAAAATAAAAATTTATAAAAAAATCAAAGTTTTTTAAACTAAATATTTAGAAAATATTTTTTAAAAAAGTCCATGTCT